TAAGACACGTAGTCCATTCCCTGCTGCTGGTGGCCTCTCCAACCTAGAGCTTAAGCTGGGAGTGCTGTAGTATCCACAGTGAGGAGATGAACTGTCTTGTGATGGTTCTGGGGTCAGAGAGGAGATTTGCCAGCTTGTGGGTGATTGGCTGCTTTCATAGTGAAAAATAAAAGTAGAGGTGAAGAAAAGAAAAGCTAGAAAGCATTTGGTTTGGTCAAAAGGGGGACCCCAAAGTGAAATCCTGCTGTCAGATGCCAAGGACAATAGAGTAACATTTAGAGGTGAAAATCTATGTTAAGAAACCATTCAAAAATGTGAGAAATCTAACAAGGAAAAGAACTGAAACAAAGAAAGAGCTAAAAATAAAAAAGTGTGGTATAACAAAGCATTGCACTGCACCTGGTGTTACTGCCTGATGTTGAGGGGCACCTTGGAGCAAAGCATTTCCCTGTTGCCTCCTGTGGGTCTCTCAAAGCTTTAAGCTTTAATTTCCATGGTTTCAAGCCTTTCTAGTATGAAATTGCATTGTTTAAATTTTTAAAAGGAGGGTGGTCAAAAAAAATAACACCTATATATCAAGATCCGTAGATGGTGCAAACTTTTGGAGAGTATTTTGCACAACATTAAAAATGATCTCATACTTGGATCAACTGAAACCATTTTATGTCATTGCAATGAGACTGACTAAAGTCTAGAATGTTTAGTGTTATTCCCAAGCAGTATCCAAAATGGAATGTAAAAATGAAAACAATTTTCATCACACCTTCAAAACAAAATATTGTGTCTTTCTGCTTGGCAAGACTGGTGTCTCAAAAAACCAAAATATTAAAAAATTAGAACACTGAATTGTTTCTTAACAACAGAAAAACCCCAACAAAACAACCTTCAGGCAGCTTGAAAAAAAAATATTAAAAATTGTTATTTGATTCAGAGTGACTATTTGCACTTTGGTCACTAATTATCTGGGCTGTGATTGAAGGAGAGGATTGGTTGTTGACCCTGCCCTGAGCCCTGGCTGATGAAGCATTCAAAGGAAGGTGATGTTCCCTCCTCCAGCCCTCTGGTTCAGTGGCTGGGAGGGATGTTGGGCCTCTGCCAGCCCGGGTGGGAGGCATCCAGGGTCCTGTGCCACAGTACAGAGCAGCTGCTGCAAATCACCCAAGTCAGCTTTAAATAAGGCAAAAACATTGTAAAGGATCTCGGCAGCACAGAGCCTGAGGACCCTGCAGCTTGACCAGAGGAGCTGTACTCTGTGCCAGGCAAGATCTCCCCCAGGAGAGAAACAGCCCCATCACTATATATGAATATATATACTTTTATAGGAAGAGCAGAAGTGCTGTGCTGGCACATTCCTCCTCTGCACTGCTCTGCAGCACACGCACAGAGCAGAGGGTGGTGAGAGCTGAATCAGACTCGCTGTCTGGAGGCTCCTTGCTCATCCTGGCCAGGTCTGTGATGACAGGTTTGTTCCATGAGCTTTGGGACTACAATGGCTGGAGGAATGGAGGGGAGAGAGGAAGAGGAGGAACTGTGCACTCACCACGATGCTCGGGGGGTTCGGAGGGTGCAGTGGGGTCTCAGGGCTGGGATGGCTGCCAGCCTGGGGACACACGGAGCACATGGCACGTCTGATGGCTGGGATGTAACCAAGAGAACCACGATTGAGAAGAAAAACAATCCAGGCAGCTGTGCTTCTGGCTGTTGCATGGCTGAGCAAGACCAGCCCCTTATCCCCAAGCTGTTGTAAGGGGAAAAAAGCACCAGAGGCACACAGCAAGGAAAAGGCCATTGCTCTTCACCAGAAGCACCCAGTCCCAAATAGACATGCTGAGAAAAACAGCCCCAGACTCTGGCCTTAGCTGGGTGGAGACTCAAGCTTACCTCTATTTTACAAATCCAGGTCACTTGTTACCATCCAAAGGCTTTTTGGCACAAATATTTCTAACTCACGAGAAGGAGCTCCTCATCCCAGAGCCACCACCATCACCAGTTTGGGCTGGCCTCACTGCTGGAAGGAGCAGTGAAGACCAAAGGGAGCTGCTGCTGTCATTCAGGGCAGTTCAGGGCATTCACTGGGCAGCACCAGAACCCCTGCCTGAATAGCACCAAAGCTCATTTTTGTTTCATTTTTGATGGCAGGAGAGCCTTAACTGGGCATGAAAAAACTTCATGAAGCAGCAGCCTGGTGTGGCTAGTAGGTCCCCATAGCATTTGGCAGCTGCCTTGCCACAGCTCCCCATGGCTGCTCCACAGTTGGCAGCTGCCCCAAAACATCCCAAAAGCATCCACCTACCACAAGCACAGCAGCTCCCTGTGCAGGCAGGAGGTGAACACCAATCTCCCCCATGGCTGCTGCTGAGGAGCACACGGGCTGTACGGCTCACTGGGATGCAGAGGCTGAGGCTTGGTTGGTGGAACCAGGTGCCAAATACCTGCTGGAAACAGAGATGATGAAGCATGTTCCCAGCACTGTCTTCAGCTTACCAACAAGTGCAGCTCATGATGGACAGCTTTGGATGTGCCCTGAGAATGGCACCACCAGCTCAGTGAACCAGACTGGAAGACTTGACACAGCCCACTAAAGCAAGGGGAGATTTCTAGATGGGTTTTATTGTGCATATAAACTCTGCAGGGACAAAGCCACATGGCAGTGAGGTGAAACAGGGGCTCAGCCATAGATTTTGATGGCTGCAGGGTCTTTCCCTTGGTTTAATGTATTTCTAAAACTGGGGTGAGCAGGACCCATTCTGGAAACAGAAACATCATAAGCAATTTCATCTCCCTGAATAATTTTGCCTACACTTCTCCCATGCGTTGACCCAGAAGCTGCTTCAAGGGCAACAAAAATCCCTTCTCCCATCCCCTTTTCACCCCCCCTTCAAACTTCCATTGTGCTGCTGTTCAATTCAGGTCAATGATCTCCGTAGGCACAGTGAGGACATCCTGGTGACTTTTGATGTCCCCTTGGCAGAGCATCAACACCCACCCCAGATGGGCAAATTAGCCCAGCCTTCCCCTCTCCTTCACTGGCCAAGCAGCTTACAGGGTGTCCCCAGTTAATGGCCACGGCATTTTATGGCCTTGCCCTCCTTCTCACCCTTCTAGTGAATGAAATTAATGAAAAAATAAAATAAAACCTCTGCACGTTTGTTCCATTTATTGTATTTTTATTTAAAAAGAAGGTTTGCTAACAGCAGTCAGGACCGTGGCCCAGGCCCCCCAGCACAACACCGGCCTCAGCAGTCCCTGTGGCTCCAGCCCGAGTCTGTTCCTCCTCCACACTGGGGACAAACCAGGGAATTACCCAGCTTTAATAACCACTCCTGAACCATGGGAAGCTCCCTGGGATTGCAGGCTTCCTCCATCTTGCACTTTTACTCTGTCTCCTCCTATCTCAGGGAAGCCCAACAGCTGGAGCTGTGGTTCACAGCCAGGTTTAGCTTCACTGTGCAACTAAACTCAAAGCAACATCTTGCTTAAAAAGTCAGCTTAAAAAAAAAATACATAAAAGAAATAATTTTTTGGAACGGGAAAGAAACAGCCCCTAAGTGGCAGATTAGCCCACATTTATCCACCATAAAGTTGCTTTTACCTTAATCTTGGGCATCTTCATCTGACACAAATTAGCAGGCTGCAGGCTCCTACGGGTACAGTAGCTTCTATGTCCCAAACCATGAAAGTGAGTTTTTTCCTTTCACCACTTGAAGCACTCAGTTTTTAAAGAGATAATGTCAAGTATTTCAGTCCTAAACTGTACACTTTTTAAAGGTAAAAATCACAGCAGCAGGAGATGGCACAAAGGTAATGATATCCAGCCACGAAAGCACTGCAGCATGTGTCCAAGGCTCACCTGCACTGTTGCTTTGCTCTCTCACAAATAAAACCCAAGCTGCACTCACTGAACCCCAGACTCACCTGCATTTTGGCACTGAGTGCTAATTAGGAGGCAAATAGTTCTGTTTCTGGCTACAGAAACAGAAAATGCAACAGGCTAATCAGACCAAGCTATTTGCTTCCCTCAAACAACCCAAAGCTTAAGAGAAAAGCAAGTGTGGTTAGAAACACTCCTGTATGTTTTGAGTTCATTCTGGAAAGAAAAAAGAAAAGATAACTTATTGGATGTTCACTAGGCAAGCATTCCACCAAGATTCATCTGACATCCTCCTTAACTGTTCAGAGTAAGAGCTAATCAGAGCTCAAAAGAAAGGAGAGAGGGACTCCAGGCACACAGCACTGTACGCTGGGTCTTTGTGGAAAGAGGGAAAATAAATTATTTAGACTTGACAAAGTCCCTTGAAGTCCCACAGTCTTTCTGCTTGGCTGGGTCTCAGGGCTATCACCAATACTTCAGTGGTTATTTTGGAGGGAGAGAGAAGGCAGGTAGCATGTGGGAATTAAGAGCTAGATGTACTTAAGATTTTCACAAGCCTTGACAGATGTGGAGTGTCTTTGTGGCACAGTAAGATAGTTAATACTAATGGTGTCAGTTTGCAGCAGCAAACCTCCCCCTTCCTGCCACATTCCAGCATCTTTGCTCCTTTCTCAATTGCTCCTTAGGAAAGGAAGAGGAAATTAAAGCTCAGAATCCTCCTCACTGCCTGCCCGGCTCAGGACTGGGGCGCCCACTCTCCGGAAGCTCTCACATCTCCTCTCTGAGCAAATGTCCCTGGGATCAGCTTAGCACAGCTCCCCAGCACCTCCTGGAGATCAAGCTGCAGCCCAGGATGCTTCTCCTTCACCTCTCTGAAGGCTGCACTTAGCCCCAGCGGTCCATGTTTTGGAGGCATTTGTGCACGGCTCTGCTGGGCACCAGTCCCTGCAGGGGAGGAACAGAACCTGCCATGTCCCTCGGCCGTGAGAACCGCCAACAAACCTTCCCTGCCCACCCCGCTCCCTGCCCCTTCCCCTCCCCGCCACGAGCACGGGGCCAAGGACGTGTCTCGCTGCAGAGCGACAGCGCCGGCGTCCTTGGCCAAACAAACTAACTACCAACCTCGGACCAGTCACGACAAACGGCTTAACGTTTAACCCATCACCTAACATACCCTCAAAAACCAAGGCCACCTTCACACCTTTCGGACGTGGCTCGAATGCCCTGCCCAGCCCAGCAAGCCCACGGTGAGGGGGTCTTGCCCGGGCCAGTCACGCCAGATGCTCCCGCATCTCTCCTGCCCCTTCCTTGGCGAACACCAAACAGTTATAATACTCAGGTCAATATATATAGGTACCACGTATATATATTTGTGTCGCTGTTCTGCGCATTAACAAAGACAACCAACCCCACCAGGTACCACTCGTCCTTTTTTATCCCCCTCCCCTTCCTCCCGTGGCTGTGCAGGAACACGCCCAGGGACCACCCTACGTGGCCCCATCGCACTCCCCCACTGTCAGCTTCAAGGCTCCCTGCTGGTGCAGCGTCTTTAAGGCTTTGAACTCCAAGGGCATGGTGTGCGGGCTGGCCTGCGAGGTGTAGCCATACTTGAGACTGTCGTAGTAGTGGTACTTGACCGGGTTCTGGTTCTGGTCCAGGGGAAAGGGCCAGAAGCCGTAGAGATAGATCTGGTTGCAGAATCGAGTGGCTAAGGTGTACATGAGGAGGCCGGTGGTGGGTCGCTTGATGTGCACCTTGTTTGTTAGCCAGTACCTGCAAAGGGACAGCAGAGGACAGTGTGTTATTGCCCCTGCACACAAAGCTCCTGTCTTGCACATTTTCCCTCTCCAGCCTCTGGCTGAGATGCACTGGCAATTCAAAGCGAGAGGTTTCTGACGAGCAGAGGAGTTCTCCATGCCAAGAAGAAGCCTCCCTAGGGATTGCTTCATGAATAGGCATCCTCCTGCTCCCTGTCGGGCAGTTACATCACACTTGTTGCTATGGCATTGAAGCATCTCATGCCCCAGCAATCCTATATGAAAAACAAATTGCTTGCAATGGTGCCCTTCAGTACTTCAGCCCACAATTATCTTCCAATCAACCTAGCAGATCAATTCCACAGACCAAATCATCCACATGTTAAGCAGACTCCAGCAGCCCCTTGATGCAGACACATTCTCTCTCTCACACACACACGTGCTGATGATTTTCATTGACAAATAAAGATTTTTAGGCTGCCAATAAACACAACAGGGCTGTAAAAACGTTTGCCTTGGAATAAAGGGTCACCAGACTGAAAGAGCTAAAACAACCTGCTGTGTCCCTGTTATACCCAGCGATTGCTGCTGTGATCCTGGACGAAAAATACATCACCACGCTCTGCAATGGCAGAGATACATAATCTGGCATATTGCAATACATAATAAGCAATATGGAGGCTGTCCTCACTGCTGAAAAGTGTGCCAGTTTTTGTGAGGGATGGCAAAAAGAAGAGGGGAAGGAGGCAGCCTGTAGTGATGGACGAGCAGAAAGGGTATCAGCAGCTGCACTTTGGGTTCCCAATAAAGGTTATTGCAGCATCAACACCCTACCCTGCAAGGAGATGTTTCCAGTGTTACTGCACAGGCAACTTCTCTGGTTTGCTCAGCAGAAAAACACTGCCAGAGGAGTAAAATCAGAAAGCAAAAGGTTTGGGGAGGTAGAAGATTTCCACCAGCCCCCCCTCCCCAGGTGCACCTCATCCTCCCTCAGTACGTGTGATGCTGGCACTGCCCTGCAGCAGGTAGGGATGGTGCAGGCAGGGATGGTGCAGGCAGGGATGGTGCAGGCAGGGATGGTGCAGACAGGGCATCCCACCTGGTCACAGTCCCTTCAAGCCCTTGGATTATTTTTAATAGATATTTCCAAGGGCCTGAGTTCAGGTGAGTGCCTGGCAGCTCTTTGGATAAAGGGCATGAGGAAGCAGAGCAGAGCACGTGGCATTTCTCTACTCTCAGAGGTTTGGGATCCTGAGCTGGATCCTGCTGTCACATGTGGAGCCACAGGAAGTGTCTTGCTCCTCATTCACATTTTCCACCCAACTCCTGAGGGTCTGGCACTCAGACACAGGGAACCCTTGGGAAAGCTGAGCCTTAATTTTCCAAATTAGCTTTTCATGAAGGCCATTAAAATTTAGCAACCAAGGCACAAATATACTTGCTTGTTCTCAACCAGATAAGAGAAAAAATTACTTTTCTGGTGAATCAAATTGTGGAAGCAGAGTGGCAGCCTCAGCACGTGCATGAAGGGCATGCCCGGGTTTGCTGGGGTGAGCAGGAGCCCAGCTTTAGAAAAGACAAATATGACATTTTGGGGAGGTCCCTCTTGCCTGAGCACCCTGTACAAAAAAGCAGCAAGAAAGGGGGAAAACTGGTGAGACCAAGTATCTCCGAGGTACAGCATCACCATTTCCTGGGCTTGCCCAGCCACATGAGTTGAGCTACAGGGGCACAGCAAAGCTCACTGCAGTGCCAAGGCAATCTTCTCCCACAAGTAGCCATAAATCAGCCTCCTTGATGAGTTACAGATAAGCACATTAGACCCCTGGCACGTGGAGAGAAACAGGAGATGACCACAATGATTTAACACTGTGATTCAGGGTATCCCCATGCAGCAGGGAAACTACCTGGGAAGAACTGTCAAGCAACATTATCTGACAACTGTCTGTGCTTGTCCTGCAGCTGCTTTAGCCTTAAAACCCTCCTTTTATCAATTTACCAGTTGGAACACTGAAAGATACTGGTGACCTTACACCTGCCCAAAATATTAACTCTCAGGTTTTGTCGAGAGGCTGCAAAAACTCCTATGAACGTACAACGACCTTGACAGCATGATGAAATGACCCTTGCACAAGGCTACAGGACATTCATGTGACCACTGATGTTTCAAGCATATTAATGATGACAAAACTGGCCTGGGTCACACACAGCAGTGCCTTACAGAAGCACATCGTCCTCTGCAACCTGGCACGTGCCAACAGCCTCAAGACCAAGTCAGTAATATTGTGGTAGGGAACAATGACAATTCAGTTTCTTATAACCAACATTTTAAGCCTGACTCTTTTATCTGCATTCCACTCCATAACAGGCATGGCATTGCAAAAATGAGGATGACAAACCTTGCTCCTACAGCATCATAAATTCTCGCTGCTGGCTGCAGCCTTGGGAGGGGAGCGGTGGGCTCCAGGCTGTCCCAGCCCTCCCACACAGATGACATACACAATATACAATGCCCAAAACATAACACAGGCCATGCCACAGCACTTGCAATTTGTTTCCTGGACAGCAAAGGTAGGAAATCCTCCAGGGAGGTCTGGGGAATACTTTCTAATGACTGGTTTGTGATGGGAGCCATGAAGGAAGATCTCCATCTTATCTCTCCCACCGCTGACCAACTGAGACAGCAGTCACATTCCTGGTGCAGGGGAGAACAGCTGGGGATGGAAATAAAACCTAATTAATCCTGTAAATTCAAATGAGGTTGTCTGGGTGCACATGGGATGCTGTGTCAACAGCACACCTTTAATACGGGAGGTCCGGGATTTTAATTAGGAGGAAAGATAATCTTGAAGCAGGCAGTAATTATTTTTCAAATTGGCTACACCAATCACCATAACTATTAACCGCAACATTTTATGGAAAGAGACAGCAATTAAAAGAGAAAAGCAAAGAGCAGTCCTGAAGCTCAATACCTCCTTTCTCAGAGCCATCCTCATGGTGTGGACCTCCTTCAAAAGCTGGTGCTGTGTTGTTTCTGTAAATAAACCCTCAGGGTGGAAGCAGTTACAGAGACTGGTCGGTGCCTGAGCAGGATGCAGCTATGAAAAGGAACCGTGTTGCTGTCAGGAAAAAATTGTGTGAGACAGCTCTTGTTTCAGATCATGATAGTGACAGACGAGAAATGCTATCAGATCTTCACAGCCATCTTTTGTAAGGAGGCAGCCTAGACACAAGCCTTAGCACCTATCTGTACTACTACTCAATGGTCACCGAGGACAGAGGTTTGGAGAAGAGCAGTCCAGAGAGTTGTCCTAGCTGGTAAGTGGTTCTGGTTGCTCCTTGGAAATGTCAATTTTCCAAAAGGTTTCCAAGAAACTTAAGTCTCCTAAGGAGAACTGCATAGCTCTGCTGCTGGCTATATGACTGTTGGGGTGTGCTTCCTGGGAGGGGGCTGCACGGCAGCCACAGGGGAAGCCACCGCTGCGTTCAGACCTTTAAGCCCAGTGGGATTCCTTTGGGAGCCAACACACCCTGAAACTGCCCCTGGGAATTGGCAGCTCCCACCCGAGGCAGGGAAGGCAGCAGCCTCCACGTGGCACAGCTGGAGCTCCTTGCTGCAGACAGTGTTTGAGGACTCCTAACAAGGGCAGGGTCCTGCTCTGCGCTTACCCATCACCTCCTGACGTGCCTAAGAAAACCCTAAGGACACAGGTGCCCTCCAGGTAAGGATGCAATAAATAAAAGAAATGGAGGTCAATGGAGAAATCAAGTTTCAGCAGTATCAGCTGCATTATTTAGTGTTATAAATCAGAATAGCTGAAATAATGCTATTTCAGACCCTTTTAAAACATCTTATTCATGAAAGCATGATACAAACACAAGCTGTTGTGTTACTGCTAGTCCTTGACTGTCAGCAGCATATCATCAGTCTGCCACACGCATCCTGCTCCCAGTAATGCTCATGAAAAAACAGCTACAGATAATTGGAGTGAGTGCCCTGACAGTGCTCCGATGCTGGTGCAGGCCTGGCCAAGTCCCACCCGTGCTGGCAGGGCACAGCATGGGTCCCAGCTACTGGATGGATGGAGATCAAGTGCTGCAGCCCAGGGAGCAACCACTATCCCCCATCCAGCTTCTCCCAGTCCTGTTCTGTCCATGCATCTCCTCTGGCACCTCCACCAAAACAGCCAAGAGCCATGAACAGTGATGACATCTGGCTAGATAGAAATGACACAGGTCCTTAAACTATCTCTGGGACCAGAGAGGAAGGGCTTTAAGGCACAAGTATTTCAGGGGAGCCCCAGTGAGCTGAAGGACCAGACACAATGAAGCATGAAGGAGCCCACTTAGAAAGCTCATAATTGGGTGACACTGGCTAATCAACAGCCGAACCCATCTTGAGCCACAGCATGAGAAAAGATGAGCTGAGAAGGCTGTGAAAAGCAGTAGCTGAGGTTTGATGTGTTAAGAGAAAAGGGAAGCCCAGAGAGGGATGCAAAGGAGTGGGCTGATGCAATCAAACCAACAGGTTAGGAGAATAACCTGTACACGTGTGTCCTGTGTGGCTACAAGCAAGGCAAGACTGTTGGAAAGGATGTAGCATAATCAGGACAAAAAGTAAGGCAGGACCAGAGAAAGGTTTCCACTCTGGCTCACAGACAGGAAAGGCAGAGGCTGGTCAGTGTTACCCTGGAGCAAAGACTTAGATGTTGTTTGCATATCAGGAGGCAGAGAGACATCTGAGGCCAAGATAGAATCCACCCTATGCCCCACCAGGTTGCAGTTCTGAGGACATGTGGGAGACTTGCACTATGCAAGCTGTGGACCCTGAGCAGAGGTGTTGTAAGGAGCACACACAAACTGCCAGAGCTATTTGGACGCTAAACCTAACAGGGGACCTGGCCAAGGAGCTGGGAGATTGATTTTTTTCTTTTTCCTTTTCTTTCAAGAAGCTCTTCAACCAAATCTTATGGGACTAGAATTGGTTACTGTCAAGAGACCTTCATGATGGACACAGTGAGAAGTGCTAGACTAGATTGTACAAGGCAAACTGAAACATGTCCATGAATCCCCAGCAAGGAGTGACAGTCAGGCCTCCAGACACAATTATTTTCCCCTGCTTCCTGCATTTCATGTTATTTCTCTGACAAAAGCTGCTTGGCAATAGGGATTACAAGGCTTTTTGGAGACACTAACAGATGACTTACAAGGAGCTTGCTTGCTTCCCAGCCAGGAGATGAGCACTGCACTCACCAGATGAATTGCTCAGGAGGCATTTTATAGAATCGCTCCAAAGGGAGTCACGTACCCCCAAAATACAGGACACCCTCCCTGTCCCCACAAGCTGGCTCCCTGCCATGGCACAGCTTCCCTCCTCAGCCTTAGGTGGGGACTCAGCTTCCTTCTGAGCTCCTCCATAGAAATGCTGATGGCTCTGTCCCTTCCTGGCACGAAGATGGTGAGTTTAACTGTGTAAGAAGAGCCTCCGTCCTGTTGCACAGATTACCTGGAATCACCAACACAAAAGCTATCAGCAAACATTTAAGGCACCCTCACAGCTAGGAAAGTAATGTCTCCAATGATGCTGTTGAGGGCAACAAAACCAAATGCTTTTTACTTATCTCAGCAATGAACGTTCTACAAATACCCCAAAACGCAATGAAAATTATAGAAAAAAATGCTCAGTTGCCACTGAAATGCACTCTGGTCTGGGGGAAAGCAGAACAGGACAATAAACACTGCAGTTCAAGGAGAAGTCAAGAACTCAGAAATGTTATTTCACTGGAAGTGAAGGAAGAAAAGGCAAAGCTTTTGTAGCCGAATTGAAGTTGGTTGAGATAACATTAATCTTTGTAGTAAGTGCTACTCCTTGAAAAAAGAAATAAATAAGAGTGCCTTGGCTGAAAGACTTCCCCCATTTCTTTGTGATTTCCAAATCAACTTAGGATAGATTATGAAAGGGTAGCTTCATCCAGCAAAGGTGAAGACAGGACATCACTAAAACTACAGCCCACTGTAGCCCAGAGGGACTTTCTGTGGGGCTTTGTGGGTTATTGATTCTCTGCTGCACACCACAAGCCACAAAATGGATTTGTTTCACCAGTCTCAGATCTGTGAAATAAAAGTGCAATACTACGAACTGGCATGTTCCTCAGAGAGAGCTGGAGAGATGGAGGAAGTTGTTGCAGACCATAGCCCTGTAACAGCAAGGAGCTCATAAATAAAAACATATTATGATCTTAGGAATCAGACAGTACCACAGAAGATGAGTAAGTAAAGTCCTAGTGATTCTGGTTTATTTGGCCTGAGGAAAGACTCCTCCTTCATCCCAAACTTCATCGTATCACTTAGGTATCTGAGAGAAATCCTATACAGCACCAAGAGCATCAGCACACCCCCCTCCTCAGCTGTGGCCAGTTCATTCTATACTGCCTGAATCCCTCCCAGATTCATCCAAGTTCAAACCCGAGGAAGCTGCACCAAGGGAAGGGTTAATGTTGCTTTCCCCCAGAAGAGCACAACCCTTTGCCTCCAGCCCTGGGTGGTCCCTCTGCACAGCTCCTTGACCAGGCCACAACACACCAGGTAGGTGTTAAAATGCTCCTGTCAGTTCGAGCTAGCTGAGGTGCCTGCAGTTTTAATTATATTAATCGTTAATTAGCAGGCATCCTTGTTTTCCTGCTG